GATGAATGAGTCAACTTTGTAAGTTGACCTCATGTCATTTTAAGGTCATAGAGTACGAATAGGGCCTAGCGCATCCGGACGACCCTAAAGCATGCCCTGGGGATTGTCCATGCGAAGTTTGCCCGCAGTGGGCCTTTTGGTTGCTTCACAACGAAGGGAGAAAGTTGACAAGTTTTGTCGAAAAAGGTAGTGCTGTCGCCCATGCCATTACACGTAGGGGGTCATGCAAATTTTAAAAACTGATTAAATCGAATAGTTCAATCCTGGTGAACAGGTTTTTGAGCTAAAACACCGTAAAATAAAATATCATGTTTTTTACTGCTGATAGCTCATGGAAATCGTCTTTGTTGTATTTAAATCGGGTCTTAATTGTCTGTAGTATTTACGAATATTATCACAATTCATTGAAAAAATAAAAATATGTAGGGCACATCTTTTAGATATATCTAATTATCTAAATATTTATCTAAATATATATCTAAATTTTTATAAACACATATATGTGTTTATAAAAATTTACTTATCGAATTTTGTAAATATTTGGACGAGTTTTTTCTACAAGAAGTGTAACGACATAAAATCCAAAACATTAAATTGAAATGTACAAATTTATCGAAAATTTTTATTAAATTTGTCAGCACGTATGTAATTAAAAACAACGTTTCTAAATCTTGCAAACGTTTTGCCAAATAGAAAGATATTTTTGCATGGGATTCGTATTCCAAAGTTTATCCAGACAAGTGAGCACTTTTTGTTAAACCAGGTTATTAATATGTATTTGCGTAAGTAGTAAACGATACCATAAATTTGTTGAGATATGTATGTGTGAATTAGAAAGTTAACGTGAGTACCCCCATCATCATCAGAGGGCGAATATGCATTTACATATTTTCGAAAAATTCCTAAAATATGTATGCTTTTAATATTTGCGAAAAGACAAAATATGTACGAAATACAATTACGTCTAAATTTATTATTGTTCTTTCCATGTTCATTTTACATACATTTATTTCGAAAAAGCTAACCAGCGCGGTACATAAATTTCCCTATCTGAATATTAAAAAAATTCCTCTAATTGTTGTCGTCCTAAAGATAAAAAACCTCATCCAGCTCTCGTCCTGCTGGCAGAGATCCTAAAATCGCGGCCACATTTCCGCGTTGAACTGCAATACTAATTCTTTGGATGAGAAAATTCGTTGCTCTCTTCTCGTCCGTGAGGGCTGTGATCCTTGTCCCTATTTCTTTGATAAGGGACAGGCCCTCCTTGCCCCATACTCCAGTTGTTTCAACGGCTACGGGAACAAAGAGGAATCTGTCCAGAAGGTCTTCGTACCTTTTTGTCTTCTGTCCTCCGCCCTCTCGGCTGCCGCACCAGGATGAACACAGGTTTGGGGGAGGTAAGACGGTGCAAAAGTGTCGACACACGTAAAGTCCCATACCAGGGGCCGCCCTCTTGCCCATGGAACCAATGTCAGTCCGTCAGGGCGCTTCCCGTCTGGCCGGGAACAACCGGCTGGCTCTTTAATGGTGGGGGCTCCGGCGGAACGAAGAGCTCTCCAAATCACGTCATTTGCTGCGGCATGGCGGGAATGACGCCCCGCACTACTTTTGCAGCTCAGGCCATGGTAGCCTTTTGATGTGACCATAGCTCCGCATGGACATTTATGGGAGTGGCAGACGTCGCATCCAAGACGGAGGGCACAAGCGATGCGAAACGTCTCATTTGGGAGTAGCATCCCAAGTTGTGGCGAAGGTACGGCATTGAGCCACGCCCCCACATGCGGTTGTCCCATGGCAAGGAGACGAGCTTTATCCTCTGGAGTGGATGCTCTATTTCTGAGGTGGTTGATAGCGGCCTCTTGCTGAGGCACCTCCCACGAGGCCTGAAAACCTCTAACTTCCGGCGGGGGAAATTCTGCGGGTCCCATTGGATTCCATCTCTCTTCTCCTTCTTGCAATGCGGTGTCGGTGCCATGGAGGTATGGGGGGAGTAGGCGTTCTACAAGGGGGAGGACACTGTAAGCGGACGCGAGAAAACACGGAATCGCCACGTCAACAGCGTGCCTAACCCCCAAGCCGCCATCGCCGACGGGAAGGGAGGACTAAAGCCAAGATTGCGGGGAAAGTGAGCAGTTGAGGATCCCCTCCATTGACTCCTTGAGTTTGGCGTCATACAGGGTGAGGGCGTCGAATCTCCGCCAAGTCGGGGCACACCGCAAAAAATAAATAAGGCGGGGTGTAGAGATGGACGCCCGAAGGAGGAAAAACGCAGAGTGGGAGGAGAGTTCAAGGAGTCGGGCGCCCAGTTTGGCAAGTTGGTCGGTCTTTGTCCCCACCACCGACTCGATGGCCTCGTCAGTAAGCGGGGCGCCAAGCAGGACGGCGGTTGCGGGGGATATCTCCTGTATCCCTGGCGCCGCCTGTCGGAACCGCTCCAAAATTTTAGAGCGGGTATGGTCGTCCGCTCCAAGCACACCAACCTCACATTTGGCGGTATTGAGAAGAAGCCCGACGTCCGCTCCCATGCGAACAATTGTATCTAATGCCTCGAGAACTTTTTCTGGAGTGTCCGCTAGAGTGGCATCATCCAAGTACCACAGATTCAGCTCAGTTTCGATAGCAAGGATGATGGGCTGGACGACCAGGGCGAAAAGTGCGGGACCTATCGGATCTCCTTGTTGGGCCCCGCGGCGGGAGGAGATGGGTGTGTCCCCATAAAATAGTTGAGATGGGGAGGAGTAAGCCTGCGATAAAAAACTGAACATTGAGGGGAACCTTTGAAGAATAATGCTAAGAATCGTGTCCCGCCGAATCTCATTAAAAGCATTTGAGAAATCCAATTTCAAGAAGGCCTTGGCTGTTGTGTGCTTGTAGCCCCAGTAAATGCGGGCCGCATGTGCCGCTGCTTCTGCTCCTCCCTTTGTCCCCACCCCCAGCTGATGTGGTGCGAGGTATAATATCTTTCAAAATTTGTGGGCGGAGGGAGTCCAGACCTCCCGCCGATCCTGGCGGGAAGCTGGCGATGGCTGTAGTGACCTCAAGCACCTCCACCGCTGCTGGTTCCACTGAATTCTTTGGCGGTACGGGATAATTTGTAGGCTCCGGATGTGGCGGGTGCTTGGCGATTAGCGCATCAATCGTTTCCTGGGTCATGGGGGCAATCGTGTCATCTGAGCAGGCCAGTCGAATTGCTCCCCGGACATCGCCATCTGCCAACTTGGCCTCAACTTTCTTGGCGACACTCTCAATCACTCGAGGGGGCTTGGCGGGAGGTCGTTTTTGTCGTGGCGGGGGGGCGGTCTGGCCCACTAGCCACCTAGCAACCCGTGACTTGACCCATGTTGTCAAATTCTTCACCTTATCGGTCTTCTGGGGGACAGGGACTGGGGGACGAAATACATATTTGTACATATGTAGAAAAAAAAATATAAAAATATAAATTTTCGATAAATTTGTACATTTGAATTAAATGTTCTGGATTTTATGTCGTTACACTTCTTGTAGAAAAAACTCGTCCAAATATTTACAAAATTCGATAAATAAATTTTTATAAACACATATCTAAAAGATGTACCCTACATATTTTTATTTTTTCAATGAATTGTGATAATATTCCTAAATACTGCAGACCATTAAAACCTGACTTACAACAAAATTTGACCACTAGTCATTATCAAATGAAAAAGCTAAAAGTCCATAAACACATATCTTCCCTCGGATTATTATAAAACCACAATTGCAATTTGTAAACCTGGTATTTAACATGTTTATAATTTGAGCAAACTTGTCACATATTATTTTTAATCAATATTTAAATGTATTGCTAAACACTTACTGTCTCTAATTCCACAACACTTTTTTGCGAAATATTCTTTTACAGAATAACTCCCCCCCAAGAGGGGGCAATGAATTGTAGTATTTTTATTAAATATGCATTTACTTTAAAACCGAGTGACAACGATTAAGAAAATCAGCTTCGTAATGGTCCCAGCCACACAAGGATGAGATTATTTTTCACATCTTGTCTCATTCTATTTTTATCTCTGCCCCATTCTCACATTTGCACTTTTGCATGGATTTTAAATGCATCTATTCTGCAAATGCATAAGTACTTAAACCGCATTGTAGGGCGAAAGCTTATTTTAAGCCGTATTTTTCATCCAAACTCTAAAAACTCGGGGACTACATAAGCCCTGGTGATGGTGGTTGATACAATTTCGCAGGTGTGAATGCCAGAACTTGATATGGAGATTATAAGTCGTCAAGTGGTGGTAAATAATTATAATGCTGAATGCTCGTCACGTAGAATTGTTATTTTTGTGAAATTTACATATCTCATTTCCAAGAAAAATGCAATTAAGGCTAAAAGTTCTTCAATACTTACAAGTTATTCATTGTTAATTTAGTATTCTACTGTTTTCCAAAAACGTCTAGAAATCATGGATTCACATACCTATGTTCAAATTTTCGACCTATGTTCCGACCAATAATTAATTTTGTCTATGTATTTTTACAATTTTATGATTATGATTATCAATATTATGTAACCTTTCATGATGGGCAAAGGCTGTTGGCTATGATGCAATAAATCAATTATTATTATTTCCAAATTTTCATGAATATTTGCACATCTAAACATATACAAAATCATTTAGTTTTGCAACTTTGCATGTGCCCATGGCGAGAAATATTTATCCAGTCACAAGCAATAATTATGTATATACATATGCCATCAAACTAATTAATTATACAAATTGATCCAAATCAATCCAAATGGATTGATATCTACATACATCGAAACATGTCCCTTTGTTCTTATCGGTAAAAAGTGATGTGATTTGTCAACAATTTATACAATTAACTAGGTTAATCACAATCATTCATAACCAAATTTGCATTGTGTGTCAATTGTCCAGTGGGAAAAATTGTGCAGATAAATACTTGCGTCAGACATATCAGCTTGGTCAAAGAGTGATATGCAATGCACAATTGAAATATTTTCGTTATCAAATTGGCTCATTGTTCGGGTTACTTACTTATAAGCACATTGAGAACTTTGTCCGTGTCCAGTCGTCAATTCCAGCCACCTTCCTTCAAAATGAGTCCAAGCTTTACTCTCGTCTATATTTTGGCCTGCGTCGCCGCAGTTTTTGGTTCTTTTCAAAATAAAAATATGCATAAATATTTATCTGTGACACCAATTTGCATAAGTGATAACTATCTTGTTAAAATTATTTTAGGTGCACCAGGGACAAAGCAGGCCTTCCCTGAAGACCCAGAACCCATTAACACGGGTAAAAGATCTTATTTATTTTGATCCTCCTTTGTTACTAATGTTGAAAAAGTTATATATTTCTAGCCTAATTTTAATTTTTTATGCATTGTTTTTAAATTTATTCTTTTACTACACACAATTTTTCCTTTATTAGTCACTGAATGCGGCGGTTTGATTGACACTTCCTCCGCCGCGCTCGATTTCCTCGTTTCGGGTTCGATTCCTGCTGGAACTCGGTGCTTGTGGACGGTCCAGGCCCCCTACGACCATCAACGCTTCATCTTAACCTCCTCCGGCCTTGGAAACACTAGCAGCATCTACCTCACCGCGTACTCCTCCAACGCGGAACCTGGCATTCAACAAAGAGTGTAAAAAATTCAAATTATTTCCGCTATTTATAAAATATTTTGGGCAGTATTTAGTCCCTTTGGCTGTTCGGATCCACTCTAAATAAAGATGAGCAAAATTTGCTCAAGGTTGAGTAAAAAGGAGGATGACACAACCAAAAGGTAAAATTTGTCCAACAATGTCCAAAATTTATCCACCCTTTGTATTATGCAAATTTTACACAACTTTGGATACATTTTGCACACCGTTTGATAATTTTCACCTTTTGGATGTGTCAGCCTCTTTTTTGCTCAAACTTGAGTAAATTTTAAAAATTTTTGTTTGGAGCATAGTATAAAGCAGGATATTCTATATCCTGCTTTATTCCTTAATCCCTCAATCTCACAGCAATCTTAATTTTAATTTTAATCCCTTAATCTCACAGTAATTTTAATCTTAATCCCTTAATCTCACAGCAATCTTAATTTTAATTTTAATCCCTTAATCTCACAGCAATCTTAATTTTAATTTTAATCCCTTAATCTCACAGCAATCTTAATTTTAATTTTAATCCCTTAATCTCATAGTAATTTTAATCTTAATCCCTTAATCTCACAGCAACCTTAATTTTACATAATCTTAATCCCTTAATCGCACAGCAATCTTAATTTTACATAACCTTAATCACTTAATCTCACAGCAATCTTAAGTTTAACCCTAATCCTTTAATCTCACAGCAACCTTAATTTTACATAATCCTAATCCCTTAATCTGACAGCAATCTTAATTTTAATCTTAATCCCTTAATCTTACAGCAACCGTAATTTTACATAATCCTAATCCCTTAATCTCACAGCAATCTTAATTTTAATCTTAATCCCTTAATCTCATAGCACAACCATCGGTCAGAACCACACCATCGTCTCGAACGTCGTTCTCGTCACGCTGATCGTTAGCGAAAACCAGATCCCGATCCAGCAAGGATTTAGTCTCCATTTCTTCTCCAGCGGGGACGCCGCTACCACCACGTTGGCCGGTCACGCCTCCATCACCGCGGCGAATGGGAGCTTCACTTATCCCGCCGGCGGGGGTCAGTACCCCAACGACGACCATCGTCTCTTCACCTTCGCGCGAAGTGGCACTCCCGCCCCGACCATTCGATTTACCCGGGTCGATCTAGAATCTGACTCTGAGTGCTCGTACGACTTTATCCGAACGTACGTTTGGTTCGACAACCTGTATCTGCAAGTTGCCAGGTGAGTAGTTAAAATACATTAAGGAGTAAGTCTTGTTAAGGGGTAAGTTGAGCTCGTCTGGGGTAATGTGAAAAGGGGCACGAAGTCCACATGATAACACAGACAACACATCAACATCCTTCCTTGGAGTAGGACAATACCAACTTCTTATTTGGCTTTACTATCCCGTGTAGACGGGCTTTGGGCTAGTTTAACCCGTCGGGGGCATCGTGAGATCAAGTGCAAATCAGAGTATAAATCCAGGTCGAACTTTACCTATTTCGATATCTGAAGTTGCCGGATAACTTTTAAGATTTAAAAATGAATGGAAGGGAGCGCACACATTTTTTTGGTTCAAAATTTTGTTCAATGTAAAAAGTTTGTGACCGTAATACCAGCACTATCTTTAATCAATTATCTCGGTAATTGGTGCAAAAAATTCCTGTTCAATACCTTACAAAGTGTGTTGACGTCAAAGTGATTGCACAATTTCAATCTTGAATTGCTTAAGTTGTTTTGAGTGACTGTAATACCAGCACTATCTTTAAGTAATTATCTAAATTAAAGTCGGTAGAAATTGATTTTCACTTTACAAAATTTGTCAACTTCAAAATAATTTCACAGTTGTAAATTTGGACTGATTAAGTCGTTTTGAGTGACTGTAATACCAGCACTATCTCAAACAATTATCTCAGTAATTGTGCTCATCACAAATTACAAATATTACAATTACATTACAACTTTTTTTGGAATTGGGTCGAATTTTATTTTAAATAAAAAACGTCATGCTCTGTGTTTGTCCCCTCCAGCTACCATTATGCAGTTCTCAATGCTGAAAAGTCTTATGGCATTCAGGTCGAACTTAGGCTATCCCGGTTCGATCTGGGTTTATACTCTGGTGCAAATCGCTACGCATATCCATTCAGATACCACCACCAAATTTTTATTGAGACGACGGGCTTGAGGCTTGTTTAACGTAATGCTAATACACACCATACACAGGCACGCCACTATTATTGTTTGGATTAGAAAAACAAGTACAAATTTTTCAGGGCTTGATTTCTACCAGTTTTACATACATGCATTTTACCCCAAAAACTGCAAGAAATGCACTGTAATTTCTTGCACGTGATCATTTCACTCAAGTTTTATTTATTTTTTTGTAGATTTTGCGGGTCGACGATCCCTCCAAGTTTCACCATTCCGGATGGACTCGCTCTTCTCGCATTCGGCTCGGACTCCAGCGTCACCGGGAGCGGATTCACGTTCGAGTGGGAGTAAAACCATTCATTAATTCTCCAATATGCACACTCTTTAAGTACATTTCCAAAAATTTGATTAACGTGTAGTGTGTGTAGGAAATATTTACATATGCATACCAAATAAATAAATATGCACTAATAAAAATTACGCGAATATTTTAGTCAGAAAATTTTAGGTAAATTCACGATTCAAAAGACAATAAGCATTTGTGAAATTGAAGTTCACGTTACATTGCATGCAGGCATTGAACTTAATTTTCTCTGTATCAATTTTCCACTCACAGAAGTAAAAGAATGACAGCGAGGTCGGCTTGTCGACCAATATTTATAACATTTTTAAAATGTGAACGACCAGCCAAACGCAAATAGAAAAATCGTAGGCTCACAGATTTGGACGAAACTAGCGTCAATCGATCACAAATTTGATTAGTATGAAATTTGCAAATGGAACTATGTATGCTAAAGTTTAGCGAGATATTTGCATAAAAAAAGGAGAAAACGTACCCCCAAGGCTGGAAAATTTTTCATTTTACAAATTTGCTGCGCATTTTTCTCGCTTTGGATGCAAATATCTCCGCCAAACCTGCGCATTGGCAGATAGTTCCATTTGCAAATATCATACTAATTAAATTTGCGATCGATTGACGCTAATTTGGTCCAAGTCTGTGAGCACACGCTGGGAGACCTTCATTGTTGTTGTTGTTGTTGTTAAGCCTTTATTCACGTGTCAACAGAGATCAATTCATAACAAATTGGTTTACACACCATGACACAAGTAGCAATATATATTTTTTAAAGCATCTAATCTAACTAAAATAAAAAAATAAAATAAAAAGACGGGTAATATATATAATCAAGTGATCATAATCATAAAACAAAATACAATCCCATGTTAAAAAGTCCGCATTGTGGCCAATATACAAACAGATAGGATATGCTCATGTTCTTATCCTACTCCATATTGTTTAAAATTACTTATACATAACTCGTAGTTATGGTTGAAACAATTAATTGTGTGAACTATTTCATTGTATTGACTGCATAAAGGATTCAAAATTTTCACTAATTTGCGCATTATTTTGCCATAATTAACAAAATTATTATCATTGCTATTTGTTACGATTAATTTGCTCTTGAAAATGGGAACACAGTTAGGACACGACCAGGTTTTAGACACAAATACGTTGCAAAAAGATTTGTCAGTAAGTTTAAAATTGCAGTTATTTCTGTGAAAGAAATTTAAACAGTATACACATTGCAATACTCCACTATTCGCACATGATTCGGCAAGGTCATCTTGAAAAAGTACAGTGTAGTTTGTTCCATTGTGTTTAAAAGGAGTTGAGACGTCGATGATTTCCTGTCCGCAGAGGTGACAGTCTGGTCCCAAAGCTTGGTCGTCGTCCCAGTATACGAAATTAAGTAGGTCGTAGATTTCGCTGTTTTCCTTATCTGTCATCCCGCCTATCAGGACTATTGCGTTGGTTGAGGGATGCGCGACTATTACGGCTTCATCGACGGTCATCAGTTTTGTCATATTGTGATAGGGCCCGACAAAAAACCATACAATAATCAGTGAAAAGGTGAACCATAAATGAACAGATATCTAAAATAAAGGATCGGATCTCGCCTTAAGAAGGCACTTTACGTGCAACAGAGCGGCCAGCCCGCAGACAACCGCACGGTCTCAAACTCCGACCGAGCACTTGGGGGCGTAGAGGACACTCCGTGTATAAGCGGGAATCCCCTCAGAAGAAGTACGGTGGAATAGAGTGAGCAGAATTTTGCATCTGGAACAGTCCACTTCAGCAGGAACGGGGGGAGGTCGGCAGTTGGAAAATCCAAAAGTTGCACAGAACGGTCAAACACGGTCGAGGTGAAAAAATTCATCTACCACTATCTTGTTGGGGTCAATAGGGAGAGGATGACACTAATTACAGCGTTGGGGGTGTCGAAAAAACCCCACATTTTTTAAAACAAAAAATAATAGAGAGAGAGCAGAAGAGAATGTGTTGCTCTCAAGTTCTGTGTAAGAACTTGAGTGAGAAATGGAAAAATTTCAGATTACTGAGAAATTGGAACAATAATAGAAACTGGTCAGGTACTTTCAGGTAGGAAACTTACATAATGTGTGGATAATCTAATTATTGAATATGTAAAAGAATATGTAAAAGATCAGAAGGAAACACAATTAGATAAGGAAATACCCAAAACTCATCAGAAAATCATGAACGCACCTACATACATAATTTTCATGATTGTATAATGTTCATAATTGTGTAATATTCGGAACATTATATAACAAGCAATGGCCGTATCGTCGAAAGTGAGCATACTGATACTTATGCAGGACAGCCAATGAGTTAAGTTGAGTTGAGTTAACTCAACTCAATAAGAAAATCGTCGCCTCAGATTAATTTAGTCACAACTCAAATGTTAACGACTCAAACTCAGCTTGCATCTCATAACTCGTTTCGCCATTTATAGAGTGACGTATTTATTTAAATAAAAGAGGATCTCTTTTATTTAAAGAAATTTGATGGGGATGACGATTCCCACTGAGTTATGTTTTTGTGTGGGTGAATTTAGTGGGTGTGGCACTTGGTGGAAATGTGGGTGGATATGTTAGAATTGTAGGTTGCACAATAAATGTAATTGAAACAGGACACTTGGTTTCAGTTGAAGTCAATATATTTTACATTAGGAAAATTGAGACGAATTATAATTGTGTTGGTCAGAAAGATAATGAATTTGAGTCAAAATAGATAAAAGTACATTGAATGAGAGAGGCTCAAGACTGACAAGAAATCACATAAGAGAATCACCCGAGAATGGGTATTGCACCCTTATTTATAGTTTTAGTGAATGAGGAAAAAGGTGCACGAAAATTAGTGTACATAAATAGACTTCGTGGAAACATGTTACAAAACTTGGTTCATGGAAAGAAAAAAGGTTCACTTAATTGTTAAATTAACTTAACCAAAATTGTTGTGCGTCAGCAAGTTAAATGCATTAAGATTATAGAATGTTGAACTTGAATGATAATTTTACAAAAATGACAAACTGAACAAATTAGGAAAGTTAATTTATTCGAAATCGCTGACTTGATCTATATGTATCTTCATAAAGGTGAAAATTTCAAAATGGCCAAATCGGCTATAAGAAATACTTAATGAGTTGACTCCACAGGTGGAAATTTTAAAGGATTTTATGCATAAATTTGGCTGGTTTTTATGCAGAGAATTGGCTGGATTTCATGCAGAAAAATTTGTGCATAAAATGTGCAGAATTATGCATAATTGAGCAAAACCTTTCTGCAGAATATACCTGTCAGAAGTTTTATGCAGAATCGTTCATACTTTTGCTGCACAAACCATTGGTCCGGGCAGTTGCGTCGAATTATGTCAAATTCGACACACGATTTTCACCCGGGAAACTTATCTTCCATGATTCCTCTTATATTCATTCTCGTTCAGGTCAAATATTTCAAAATGAGTCAAGTTACACTTTCGATTCACATGCAACTTGAACTCATGAGTAGACTCGAACCCATTGGGAGACCTAGATTTATGAAAATGAGGAAACACGCACATGTAACAGGATGGTAAGTAATGTTCCTGGCTGACTTATGATTCCCACGCATTTTTGACCCAACATCATCTGGTATTACCATTTATGAATAATGCATGGCTAACAATGCAGACCTTTCAGGTGTTAAACTCGGATCTCAATGGGGAAATTATAAAAAATCCCTATGCAATTTTTTGCAATTTTTTGCAAAAATTTGTAAACGTTTGTATTTTTAATGAATTTCAAAAACTAGCAAAAACAGCTGAAACTCAAATTTCGTGTTATTTGAATTTTGTATAAGTCAGATAAGTCATTCTGAGGAGATATGTAAATATGATTTAGGATTTTTAGATTCTCGTTAAAATTTGAAAATTTAGAGATTTTTTGATGTTTAAAAACCGAAGTTTTGTGGCTGACAAACAGTTTAAAATTCGCGCCTCACTCTAAAATTAGGGCATTATATAAACTACCAAGATACAGGTATGTTCATTTTTTTGAACAAAAATAAAACTGGTCCCATTGAGATCTGAGTTTTACACGCAAAAGACTTGCATTGTAAGACGTACCATAAGCACCTTTTGTGTTCACTAATTTTTCATGGTTTGGCATGCTCTGTATGCATCCACTAATTTTTAATGACTTAGACAATTTCCTTAAAAAACTTCAGAGCAGAGATCGACGCAGACGAATTTTCGGCGGAGGCGACGCCAGTTTTTCGTGATTTTTCGGCGACGTCGGAATGTTAAAGGAATAGTGAATCAAATTTTTCGGCGCCGGCGGCGCGTAAAATGCTACCGGCGTTCGGTGGCTCGGGGGGGTCGACCTCTGCTCCAGAGCACATCTTTATAAGACCTCACCCTGAAGAAATTGGTCATCATTGCATAAATTGACCACCAAACGGCTTGGAATATTTAGTATAGCATAAACTATTAATTTGTTACCAACATTTGGTAAAAATTTCATATTTTCTTTAAATAAAGGAAAATTTTTGCAAAAAGTTGTACTAATTTCTTATAAACTTTACTTACACAAAATTTACTTACAAAATTTAGCCCTCGTTATCTGGGTCAATTTGGATCATGACGAATTTCACAATGGCGAATTCAACCAACTCGCCGTGGCCTTTGGAGTATGAAAATCCACCAAAATTTGTGCCCTTCTGGTTTGAAAATGTTGATACGTTTCGCTGGAAGGAAATTATGCTACGAAATCCGAACTTTGCCTGGTACACTTGTGCAGTTTATCTCACAACCGTGTTCTCACTGCAGGTACGAGATTTGTAATTTTTAAATAAGTAAGGTGCCATACGTAAACATAAGCGTGTGCTCAATTTTTACCCATTTACAGGGTATGCTACATACCCCGGGTATTATTTTAATACTGGATTTCTAAGAATGTATGCAATTAAGTATGTAAATTTTTACAGTTCTACATGAAAGATCGTCCCGTGGCGGACGTGAAGAAGGTGATGGTCGGATGGAACGCCTTTCTCGCAATATTTTCGGCCTTCGGATTCTACCGGGTTGCACAAGAGCTTCTTTTCAATCTATCACAAACTGATGGTTATTACCGGACCGTTTGTGTAAGGTGGGTGAATTGA